TCTGAAGATTACACATCAAGATCGGGATATTATCATCAAGTTGACTGATGATATCTTCAGTTAATGTACGTGAGCTGAGATCCCTGAAAAATGCTCCAATACCTGTAAATCCAATTGCATATTAATAAGATATAATATTCTTATAATAACTCCGACATGCAAATTTGTTATATATTTAAATGAAAAGTTACCTGCAAGTGCTTCGTGAACATTGTTTGGAAGCAACTCTGCAAAGGCAAATGGTAGAAGTCGTTGCATAAATACATGACAGTCATGACTCTTCATCCCAGAAAACTTTTGTCCCTGCTCAACACATCTAGATAGATTTGACACGTATCCATCGGAAAAATTCACATCTGATGCCACCCACTTGAACAACGCCGCCTTCGCTTCTGCTGACAATCTGAAATGGGGAACTGGAATTTTCTCATCGCTTTTAATATGCAGCTCACTCCTACAACATAACCCAGGCAAATCCAACCTCGAGTTCTTGTTATCTTTTGTCTTCCCGGGTACATTCAGTAATGTATTTATGATGTTCTCAAACAAGTTCTTCTCTATATGCATCACATCTAGATTGTGTCGCAACAGTAAATCCTTCCAGTATGGAAGTTCCCAGAATATATTCTTCTTGTGCCAGTTATGCTGTGTACCGGAATCATCAGCCATATTTGCAGGAGTATGCCAATTACCTCCTCTCTTGACTGTTTCTTGTGCACATAGTAATCGATATCTTTCTCAATTTCCTCTCCAGATAAATAAGGAGGTGCGGTGTCTCGTACAACCACTTTTGCCTTGAATAACGTTCTGTTTCGTCGATACGGATGGCTAAGAGGGAGAAATTTCTGATTTTCATCAAACCAAGACGTCTTCCTACCATGCTTCAGTTGAAATGCGGTAGTGCTTCCCATACAATAAGGACACGCTAGTCTCCCATGCGTAGTCCAACCTGATAGCATCCCATATGCTGGAAAGTCACTGATAGTCCACAGAAGAACGGCTCGCATTGTAAAGTTGGTTCTCTTTGAACAATCATATGTTTCCACCCCTGTTGACCACAATTCTTTCAATTCTTCTATCAGAGGTTGTAAGAAAACATCGAGGGATCGCTTTGGATGCTTAGGCCCAGGAATCAATATACTCATGAAAAGGAATTTTTGCATACACATCTCTGGTGGAAGGTTGTATGGCGTCAAGATAACTGGCCAAAGTGAGTATTGCCTTCCAGACATTCCAAAAGGACTAAATCCATTGTGCATAATCCAAGATAAACATTGCGAATGTTGCTTGCAAAATCCTTGTGCACCGAATTCAACTGTTTCCACTCTTTTGCATCTGAGGGATGATTGATCTCGCCGTCCTTCTGAGTATGTTCTGCATGCCATCTCATCGCTGCCGCAGTCTTTTCAGATTGATATAATCTCTTCAGCCTATCCGTAATAGGTAAGTACCACATCCGCTGGTACGGTACCCTAGTTCGTCCACGTCCTTGCGGTTTATATCGTGGCTTCTTACAAAATCGACANATGATTGATCTCGCCGTCCTTCTGAGTATGTTCTGCATGCCATCTCATCGCTGCCGCAGTCTTTTCAGATTGATATAATCTCTTCAGCCTATCCGTAATAGGTAAGTACCACATCCGCTGGTACGGTACCCTAGTTCGTCCACGTCCTTGCGGTTTATATCGTGGCTTCTTACAAAATCGACACTCCAACAACTCTGCACCTTTCCTCAGAAAGATCATACAGTTGTCTATTCAGACATCTATCATCTCTGAAGGTAAGCCAAGACTATGAACACTCCGCCCATGCATCCATACAAACTTCAGGTAAGTTATAATCAGTTTTGATATTCATCATCCTAGCTGCCAATGATAACTTAGAAAGACCATCTCTACAACCTTCATAAATTGGCTGATTAGCAGCGGCTAACATGTCATAAAATCTTTTGGCTTCCAATTTAGGTCCCTCTACATTTTCTACTCCCACCTCTACATTTTCTACTTCTGCAGCAATTACTGGATTTGTTTCACGAAATGCATCAGTAACCATTTCATGCATCCTATCATGATCTACCACCTGATCCTCCGAAGGTAAATGTTGTTCTCTATTACAATTATTTTCAAACTGATTACTACTACTAGCTTCATTCATACTATCACCTTCTCCATGATGAAACCAAATGTAGTAATGTGGAGTAAATTCTCTATTAACTATATGCTTCCAAACCGTTTCACTAAGAGCGAATTTTGTATTCTTGCACTTAACACATGGACAGAACATTTTACCTGTTTCCTTCGTGAGAGACGTGTTTCCGGCCTGGTACATGAATATTTCTGCCCCGTTGAGGAACTCCGATGTCACTCTTCCCTCAGAATCTTTATGTGTATACATCCAACTTCGAAACTCATAAATATCTCGAGACATTTTTTACTCTATCTTGTTTCGTTTTTTTTTTTTGGACAATCTTGTTTTTTTTTTTGGTGTATCTAAAAAATGGAATATGAGATTTTATTTATAGGCAAAATTCGAAATGGTAGATGGGGAATATTACCCCCTATTTACGACCAAAATTATGTTACTTTGAATAAACTACCACGTGCATGTAATTTGGTAGTTAATGCGAAGCTAATTATTTGGTCGTAATTCTGTAGTCAACTAACTTCTACTTTACGATCACTTTTTCTTTTGATCGTAAATTGGAGGTTAAGTCACTTCTGCTTTACGACCAATATCTTTTTTGTTGTTGACTGGTCGTAACACAGACGTAAAATTACGACCACCATTTTGTGGTCGTAACTGTTGGTCGGTAATCAAGCGTTTTCTTGTAGTGTTACATGTATTATCTGTATATCTATATAAATTTAATATTTTAATAATTAATTAAAAATTAAAAAATTAAACCATTTATTATATGTACTAAAATACATCATGTATTTCTTAAAATAATAAAAACTATTGGTAAAAAATTGTACTTTTGTTTTAGATATTTAACTTACAAAATTATTGTTTAACATTTGGTCAAAAATGTTGATTCGATTAATTAATTTAACCAGTTAGATCTGCATTTGTTCTGCATGATCTGTATTTGTTCTGCATGATCTACATTTTGTGTTTGATCTGCATTTTTTTGATTTGCATACCATTCACAGCCAATATTAACTGATAAAATGTTACGTTAAAATAAAAAATTATAAATAGAAATATATAATTAAATATTAAATTATAAATAAAATATTATTGTTGTCTAGTTCTTGTTTGAAAGTATTTTAAATTTTATCTTGATGTTTTAACAAAAATGTAAATTTTAAATTTTGAAATATTTATGAGATAAGATTTTTTTTAAGAATTAAAACGACAAAAATAAAATATTAAAAAGTTATGAATATGGTGTATAATTGTAAGTAGCAAAATGCATATAAAATATGAAATTTAAATTTGAAATTTTGGGTAATAACACTCTATATTTGAAGTTTCACTACTTAAGATTTCAAATTTAAAGTTTTAAAATTCTATTTTGGAGAACTAAAAATTTCAAATTTGAAGTTATAAAATATTTTTGGAGATGCTCTTAGATCACTGGAAGAATTGGTAAAACAAAGTTCTGAATTTTAAAAATCAACATCGGACAAATAAAAAAAAAAGTTTGACCTTATTAGTTAACTATACAAATTCCAATGGTTGTCTCAAATCCCTCAAATTTGTGTATAACCGTGGATATAATAATCTCATTAAGATACCCAAAATTCTCAAATATTTACCTCAAGTTAGATATTTTTTTAAAAAAAAATCATAACACAACAAATTATGTACAGATATCTTTGCATCTTGAAGCATAATCTCACTAATTCGAAAGGGGTGTTTCTCTGGATGGGAACAATCAGAAACTTTCGAAGTAGGTGAATTTCTTTCCTGCCGTTGGACCAACCTTGGAGCCAACATGTCCCACCATATATGATCCCGCCAAAGACATTAGCCGTGTTTGTTTCATCGCCGAACGCAGCCGCAGCGGCAAAGAAATACGCTTCACCGAAACAAAAAAACAACAAAACCAAAAGTTAAAATAGAAGCAGATTAATTGTTATCGCAGATACAAAAAAAAAAAATGGAACGCCATTCCTTTTACTCACTAATAATGGCCGCTGCGACTGAAAGCGAGTGAAAGATGTTTCACCATTGCCGTGAGTTATCGTGATGAAAGACTTACTTTTTGATCGCAGCCGCTAGATGTGGCGATCATGAAACGAACAAAGCTGTTACCAACTTTCTCTCTTTTCATTTCTTGTTTAGGATGAGTTCGATATATAGGCTATGCAGTACATAGTTACCGGTTAAGAGAAACACAGAGAAGAAAGTTCAAACATTTGAATCGTCGAAAACATGACAGATCTGATTACTTTCAGTTATAGAACACATTTATACGCTAGAAGCCAGAAAAAAAAACCTGAATATTTATTGATCTCTCTTTTTCTCTATACATATTCTAATTTAGCTTTCGACTCCAAGACAGTGGGAAGTGATAAGACTAAAGTAGAGAGCTTTTGTGAAGCAACAAACTTCACCTTGCTACTTCTTTTCTTTCATCCCATGGTGTACACTACTAGTATTTCCCAGTTCTTGTTTTTTGGGATCATCAGTCAAATTGAGATCTTAGAGCAACTCCAATGGTGTTACCCACCATTGGAGTCCTTGACACTAAAATATTGTTTTTTTTTTTCTTTTTGAATAGTTAAGGATTTCAAACTCAAATCTTCCTCCAATGGTGTTACCCACTATTGGAATCCTTAATTTTATTTTTCTTGAATCTAAAAGATTATTAAATATGTAAAACATTTAAAATAAAGAAATTTTTATTCTACAAATTTATGTATCAAATAGATTGAGAGCTACAAAAAACTTTATCAATGGATAAACATATATATACAGATAGAAACACACATGTACAACTATCTACCTAGAGTTTTATTAGCTGAAACTATACCTCGAGAGATAAGTCCAGTTCATAGTATGAAATAGATTGCAACCACTCGTGCTTTCTCCTTGATTTTACTTGCCACTATCGAAAACGAGAGCCTGAATAAAAACACAAATGAAAACTATTACATTGATGCTGACCAAGGAAACAGTCAACAGAGGCAGAAAAAAATTATGCTAGTGGTATATCAAGAACTCACTTCATCCATTACAACTTATATTTAATATGATTTTCGTAATTACTTCACTTACTTGATTCAAAAATACGGAACACCAACACCAGCCACAATTTATATTTAAACATGTCTAGCCTCTATCTTATGAATTATATTCAACAAAAAAAAACTTTTCTACAATCAGGTGCAACGTTTTTTGAAGAGTAACATACATAAAGTGATAGAAAGGAGCTGCATAAGAAACCAAATCAACAAGGTGTACAAAACTAAAGAAAATACAGCAAGGAAGCTCCAGTAATCAAACAACTCACGAGACAAGGAAAAAAAGAGCAGAACAAACCTTGCAGAAGGCACCAGCTTGTGATTATGTATGATCTTCGCAAACTCCTTGGCATCTGAAACTGGTATTACCTCATCCTCTGATCCATGAACTGTAAAGACTACATTCTTTATCAATCTTGAGGCAAGCTTCATGCATATCAGTGCCTAACATATCCGTTACCTAAAATCTAAGTACCAACAAATCAAAATCACCCAAATTAATCAAACTATTACCATGGATTTAAGCAATAAAAATCCAAACTTGCTTATGATCAGATTAGGTTTTGTGAGATGAATCAGAGAAGGAAGCTTACTCGTGAGACGATGGTGAGGGTTGTGCAAAGCCTCGACCAGAAAGTGGAGGCATTTCATCGAACACGTGGAGGGCACGAGTTGGTAATCTTCCACGATCGAAGTAATTGATCACGTTACAGAATACAATCTCTGTTGGGACGATACGAGTTTCTTCCTTGACCTGGAGGAGGACTTGATCAAGCTCGTGGAACATCTTGGAGCCGCCGAGTTTCGTGATGATGAGGTCGTAGCAAAGAAGGGAGTATCTGAAGGTTTTTTTGGGGTTTGTTGATTCTGGATCAGGGTTTCGGAAAAGGTTGATTGCGGCGGAGGGGTTGATACAACCCGTTTACTCTTCCATCAAAAAGAGAAGAAAGAAGTGAACAGAAAGAAGAGAACTCATGGAAGGCGAGAGAGAGATTGGGAGAGGAGAGGAGAGTGCCACGTAGGTTAAGGATCAAATCCTTAAAGTCTTTAGCTAAGGATCCTTTCTTAACTTTCCAAAATTTAATATTATTATTTTAATCTGTTTTGTCTAGGTATTTGTGCTAAGGATTAGTTAACATCCCGCGTTGCGGGTGGTCTTAATTGTACTCTTTAAATGTTTTAATGTACGTTTTGATGTATTGTACCTGCAGTATAAGCAAATCTATATTAATAACGAGACCATGTATACGTATAAGCTTGATTGATCACCTTAGCTTGTAATCGAACCTAAATCCAAAAACTATCAACAATCTCAAAGGAGTTAAAAAGGAGACTACGTGTAGCCTAGAGGAGAACACGATGATAAAAGGAAGTCTATTACCCTGCAAGAGTATTTGCGGTTTAGTTAATGATCAAAGATCTTTGAGTAGTGACTTATGTCTATGGCGACTGACTCCATAAACATGCGCAATCCCTCTTTCTCCGAACTTCAAGCTTGTATTGGATTGATGCACATTCCACAAGGCATTACAAAGGTCCTATAAAGCAATCTCATTAAACTCAGCACATTAGAACTCTTAGTCAGAAACTAGAGAGTACTCGTTTAGTTTTCAGCAATTAACTCGGTTCAGCTGATAAGACCAAGATCTCTTGTTCAACTATGAGCATCAACAAAAAAAATGTTGATACTTTTGTTAAGGTAAGAACAGATGTGTGTATTCTTATTACAAAGGACCAAGTAAGAAGACAAAGACAAACTTTAATGGGACCACTTGACATGTTTCTACTTCTGCAAAGCCCCTTTAATCTCATTAACACCATAACTGAACCATAAAGACTCCAAAAGAAAGACAACCATGAGACAGAGCTAACAGAACCAAGATCAAACCAGAGCTACATCTCCTACACTGCAACTCAATCTTACATATGTGGTAGCTCTAGCTCTGCAACAATTGATTTGATCACGAGTTCCTCTTGAGTTACCTTTACAGTCATAATCTTTAGACTTGGTGTAAGGTTCATCTCCTAAAGGCAGGCTAAGGAGAAGTACATGTGTGAGTGAAGGTAAGAAGCTTATCTACGCTTTCTGCAATGTCCGAGAGGACACACCGTGTAACAGTCTTACAAACCCCAAGAAGCTTAGCTTGCCATCAGAATGCCTAATCCAATCCTGAAGAACAACATGAACTGGGACTGATGGACCGAGACCAAGCTCCTGTATGAACAACAAACACACATTTGCAACAACACATCAAGAGAAGATACAATTTCACACCTTTAAAAGGATGAAAAATGGTTTAAATGTTTCATACCGATGCAAGTTCCTCGATCATGATGACTCTGTTTCCATCTTTCTCAAACAACTCATAAGCACGACGTGCGTGTTGCTCCCAAGTTCCCATTGCTTCTAACTGATAAACACTTAAAGCCGAAGCGCAAAACTCTTCAAAGTCTAGTTTCTTGTACTGAAGACAACTAATCTACAAATCCAGAATGTAAACTATATTACCATCTTAACCCACTAAATCATAATGAATATATTCCTTATTGCCTTACCATGTCTACAAAATCAAAGACTCTTGAATCCTTTGTTGCCTCTGTCGAACTCTTCATGATCGCCTGCAAATTTGTAATGACACTGTAAGAAAACATAAAATATAACAGAATGAAGAAGAGACAGAAACTCACTGTTTTGTAGTTCTGCATCGAGATGTATCCGTTTTTGCTTGGTCCCAACAGATTAAATTGCTCCCTCAGATAAGTAAGCTGCGGTAAAGTTAATGTTTTCGCAAGAGCCTGTAAACAAGGGAATAAAAAGAATCAGTTATGGACTTTACGTGATTACATCCATTAGGCTTGAGGTTGAAGTACTACTGAAGAATCTAACTTACCGATAAAGCTGTTTTCCTTAAAGAAGAGGACATGATGTATACTTTGACGAGCTTGTAAATGATCATATCAGATGGTATCTTTAGGTCATGTGAACCAGCCAGCCACGGATGACCTGGATATAATAAGCCAAGTCTATGTTAAAAAAAAGTGAGAACAATATATAATTAGAAGCATCAAGATGGTTATAGAGACTTACACAAAGCCTGTGCAGCAGTTAGTCTCTTACGGTAATCTTTGTTCAGCAAGAGTTTAACGAAATCTAGAGCGTCAGGTGACATAGTTGGCCAAGGAGCTTCTTCGAAATTGGGTTCTGCTTTAAGAACCGCTCTGAAGATTCCAGATTCAGAGCGGGCCCAAAAGGGTCTGCTACCACAGAGAAGTATATAAGCAATCACTCCAATGCTCCACATATCTGCCTCAGTTCCATATGTACGGTGTAAAACTTCAGGAGCCACGTAGTAAGCACTTCCTACAATGTCATTCAACCTCTCATCTGCAGAAATGGGCAAAAAAGTCAAACCTTTACTTCCACTATTTTGATAAGCTTCAAATAGGAGAAACCTTTGAAGCCTCTTACCAGGTCTGACATAGTCAGAGAGACCGAAATCAATGACTTTCAGAGGAGAAGTCTCGTCCTTTGTAGAGAAGAGAAAATTCTGCAAAAGAAGGAAACATTAAGGATTAAGAGAACAATCTAGTAACGAAAACAACACGGTTGATGTTCTATTTATTACCTCGGGTTTGAGGTCACGGTGAACCACACCTTGAAGATGACAGTATGCTACTACACTAAGAATCTGAACCATTACTCTTTTAGCATCTTCTTCTGAGTATTTGCCTCCCCTGATTGAGCCCAAACGATGAAAACTCAACCAGTCAGAGCACAGTACAGTTGATGCATTAGAGACAAGACAGAGTCATGTATGATGTTTGTAGTTACCTTTGAAGTATTTTGTCCAAGAGTTCACCTCCTTTCAGTAACCTGACGACAAAAGAGAGAGAAAATAAAATTAGTTACTTTTATCGCAAACATTCAATTGCAAGATGGTTCTGTCTATGATGCAACGGTTTTGCTTACTCCATGACAATGTAAACATTCTCATCATCTTCAAATGCATCATAGAACTGGACTAGGTTCTTGTGACCACTCAAAGCCTTCAATATCTTCACTTCTCTTCTAACATCCTCAATTGCTATTGCCGTAGTCATCTACCCGAAATAACATCCACAATATAATGAGAACACAAACAATTAATTAACAGATCAAACAGTAACTCCAGAAAGAAGCTTAGAGACAATTGATTAATCAAACATCACTCAAGAAACTCTATTTTACTTAAGCCCTCACAAAGTAAAACAGAGTCTAAATCAAACCAACAGATAACAACTAAGACCACTGGACTTCTAAACTAGCAACATGATAGCTGATAAATCATCTCAGAAGCTCACAGATGTCACATATAAGAGCAATGTTATATTCATGATGTGCCACACACCTTAAATTCACATAATTCAAACACCAACATAACAAACTAAGCCTAAGCCTAAGAACTACACATTGCAAATGACAAATGGAACCATGATCACATCCTAAGACCTCAGAAAAGTTACAACGAGAGCAAACCTTTGATTTGGGAATAACTTTGACAGCAACATCATTTCCTTTCAAGCTACCTTTCTTCCCTTTAGCAGAGCAAGTAAACCCAAAATGCCCACGACCCACCTCCCCATCAATCTCATAGCACAAACCAAACTGCTTAGAGAATCCAAACGTCTTATCAAGCCCAACCTCACACTCCCCACCTTCAGGGATCGAAGCTTGATCAGGCTTCGCGTGACGACGCGCTAAGAAGGCGCGTATGTGCTTAGCGGGTGATGGAGGTGGGAAAGGACGCTTGAAGATGCGAAGTGGCGTGGAGCTCACGCTAGAGGAGGAGGATACGGAAGGTGAGGAGGCTTTGAAGAGGGAAGGTAATGGACTAAACGGGAAGAACAATGGTGATTTCGATGGCTGTGGAGGAGGAGGAGGAGTCTTGAGTGGTGCGTCGTCATCGTTGGTGAATGGGATGCTCTGTTTTGGTTGGTGTTGGATTGGTTTTCCATGACAGAGACCCATCAAAGTTCGATGCTTTTTACACAATTACAATAACTTAGTGTCGTGTGAAGAAGCCCAGAGGTTCAAATAACGGAAAAGGTGAGAGTTTTCCGGGAAAGATGCGATTTTTTTTTCCGGGAAAAGAGTGGAGAGACGTAATCACAGAGATCAGAAAAGGGAATTCTGACTTTTGGGAATTGAGAGAGAAGGCGAGATCAAAGGAGGAGGAGGAGAAGATAACCGAAACAGAGATAACGAAGAGTGATATGGGAAGAAGAGGAAGGAAGCTAAATTTCAGTCCAATGAGAAGGAAAGTAAAGACAAAAAGCAAAAAGTGGTAAGAATAAAGGTTGAGAGAGAGAAGAGGTGCGAAAGTAAAAGAAGATGCTTAAGCAATAGACACAAGAAAAAGAAATCTGAAACGCAAATTCCGAAAAACCTAAATCTGTTTGTTATGATACAAGGCACAAGCTATATACATGAGTATATTTTGTACGGTGATATAAAATAGATAAATATTCCAGAATAGCACTCAAATATTTTTTTTATTGCAAAATAGTTCCCAGTATCAAATAAAAATTTTGAACATTGATTAACAAAATATTTCGAAAAAATATTATTTATTTACATTTATAAAATAAAAATATAGTTGTTATTTACTTTTTCAATAGAACATTTTTTTATCATTTTCCTCTTTGTATATTATTGGTCAAATGAACATTTCTGGATCAGTTTTGAATATTAACTGTATAAAATGTCTAAGCCTATACTTAGCAAAAACAACAACAAGAAAGAAAAGGAGCACCACAGACAGAGAATCAAACAAAAGAAAGGTTTTCTTTTGTTTTTTTTTCTTCAAAACATTTTATTCCATTAAACTGAATTCACTGTGGAGTTTTAGTTGCGAAGAAAAAGTCATATTCCTCATTGGATACACTGAAATAACAATGATAACATTGAAAGTGGGGTTTGCTAGTTGTGGATCCTACCTTAACCAAACCAGCCTGTCCTCATTCAACACAAAACCCAATGTTTCATTCATTCGTTTATTATTCTTAAATCCTTCCCCCCATATCATGAACATGATGAACTAATATAGTAAAATATGAAGTTGGTGTGGAATTTGTTAGTATTGTATATGTTATGTGAACATGGCAAGCTGTGTGATTGTGTAAAAACACAAGTATTGAGAGACTTTTTCTTGTTTGTTGAATTCCAAACTTTGACAAACTCGGGGTATTTTGGATGTATATGTGTTTTGGCTCCTTTTTTTTGTTACTTAACTGTTAACTGGCCATTACTATTTCTATCATTTGCGATTTCTCAAATCCTTGTTTGGTTAATCATACATTTGTAAATAGTTTTAAACTTCTATTTTGCAATTTATGTTTTGGATAATCTTATATATGGTCTTTTTTTTTGTATTGTACCGTTTTTAAATTTGAATGATGAACATACTCATTTTAAATTTGTATATATTGGATTGTGTTGATTATTACAATGAGTATATGTATATACTTAGTTTTTTTGTAAAATGCATATTTAGAGCATGATTAATAGAGAGTTCTTAATATTTTTAATTAAAAGTTATAAGATAGTTTCTTATATTCCGTTGAGAATCTCTAATTAAGAATCTTCCATTAATCATGTTCTTGATTTTTGTATTACCATTAATAATATAGGGTCACAAATGATTTCTTCCATTATAAGAGCATACATTCTACATATTGTCCTTTTAATGCAGTGTCTATGAATTGCTTGAAGAGGATTGAGTATTTTTGTATATGCTCAAATATATTTTTCTAAATATGTGTCCTTGATGATTTTTTCCGTTGACAAATCTTTAAATTTATATTACAAGATGAGACGGTGGTAATTAACTATAGGGACCAGCTTTACGAGTATTTAATAAAACAAACGTAGTAATCATTGGATTAGATTAAACAAACATAAAAAGTAAGAATAACCTTTTACCAAAAAACCTTATTTGGTATGGCGAATAATAAAAGATACTGAAGACTACGAGAAGAAGATGGCTAGAAAGCACATGCACGCTGCAGATATTCATATTCCTCTTCATTATTGATCATTAAAAAATCATCGCCAGAGTATAGCAGAGTACGTATTTAGGCATTTGCGGTGCAACAGTTTTTTACTAAACTCTATACTTGTTGTTGGTCGAAAATTAAATTCTATCAAGTAACCAACAAGCACCACTTAGAAGATTTCTAAAATGAAAAGAAAACTAATTTTCAATCTTACAACTATTGTAACATATGACAACTTTTAATTTTGTGATGTTAGTTTTCAATATCCCATATAATATAAAAGCAACGGAATAAAATTTATTGATCGTGATGAAAACTCGCTCTCAAGACGCATACCACCACTACAGAGCATAATCAGACGAATAAATACTATACTATATGATTGGATCTACAGATTCTTTTACCCTTTTTCTGTTAGCTATTGTGTTATATAATAACTATAATATAATATAATGGAATAACATTGTCACAGATTCTTCCTTTTTCTTTTATAGACTATACAAATATTCCTTGACGACGAGACAAAAAAAGTACATATATTCCAATCTAATCATCATCATTAACAATAATTAATCTGAATGATACTTAGCATATGAATTGAAAAGACTAGATAAAGTGATTGTAACCTTCTTACCACTTCCACAACATATTCATGAGTGCTAACTAGTAGTGTTCTTTGTATATGTTAGAATATTATACTCCTCTGTTCCAAAATACAAAGTGTATTATAAAAAAACTTGTTTTTACCTAAAATGTTTTATTTAAAATATAAACTAAAATTTATCAATCCAGCGCCGTTGCTTAGCTTGGAATGGCTTAAAACACAACAAAATTTGTATATAAATTTTGTTGTGAATACAAAAATGCATTAAAACATTTTACCATTTGGACAAAAATTAAATAGGATCTAATAACGGTAGACCAACTCAAATCAACTAAGTTTATCATTTGAACTAACATTCTACGTAATGTGGCCCTATAATTTGATATATGTTGTGGCTTAAAGCAAATGTTTTATTTACCTTATAGCAGTGACGTATTGATTCAACCAATTATAACATAAACTTTAAAATGTTATTGATTTCACAGTTTTTGATGAAATTAAAAAATATATTTTAAAATATCAAAACATCTTCCATTTTAAAAATGGTTAATGACTTATTTCCACATCATAACTATTGTATAGTAACAGATCCATACAATTTTTGGACCTCGTCCCAATTGCACATAATTGAAGTTTGTAAACCTATTTTCCCCCATAACAAAAGATCGAGACTCAATTCTCCCCAGGCGAACTAATACCAACAAAATCCAAGTTAAAATAGGTATAATGGTCTTTGTTTTAAAACTAAACCAATTACGAACCTAAGTAAACCTAAATGACCCGATTAGAGATGTAAATCGGATTTACCCATTTAATAAACCAAAATTAAAAACCCTAAACCCCCAGTCCAAAACTCTATGACTCTTCCTCGCGACTTGATGATTGACGACGAAAGATTGAAGTGAAAACTGAAGAGTATCATTACTCCTCTCACTCACGTAATTTCGAAACCTCTATCTCTATCTCTTTCTTCTATATTTCTGTCGTTGTTGATTAGGTCTCTGTAATTATTTTTTTTTCAGAAATCAAACATGGAAGATTCATGGACCTATGTTAACGTGGAATGGAATGAGGTTCCTAAATTTTATTTGGGTATTACGAGTTCTCCTGATTTTGACTCTGATGGTGAAGATCGAAGAGAGCGTAATGACTATAATATTGAAGCTCCAGTCATTACTCATTGTCCCAGGGAGTGTGGAAAATGGAAATGAATGAGAGGTTTTTGATTTTTCAATTTAGGGTTCGTATGAAATCGATTTAAGGTTTTTAAAAGAAAAAATTAATAGGTGTTTCCGATCGGATATATAGTTGGATAGGAGGGTTGAGTCTGGTTTTAAAATTGGTTCAGATCTTAGTTTAAGTTTGGTTTACGTTCTAAACAATTAAAACCAACTCAAAAATTTGTCCGGGGGAATCGAGTCTCGATCTTTTGTTATGGGGGGAAATAGGTTTACAAACTTCAATTGTATGCAATTTGGACGAGGTTCAAATATCGTGTAGGTATTGTTACTATACGATATTTATAGTGTATAAATAAGCTGTTAACCCTTTTAAAACATGAAAAACTTCTTTAAACATTAGACTGAGTACAATGTAACTGTTGAAAGTATTATTCAACAGTTGAATGGTTTGCAGAGAGGATGTTGGAAATGAGAAAAAAAGAGAACGTAGATTCATCTTGTTGAATAATTAAAAATTAGGGTTCACATTGATTAAGTGGATTTTTTCATTTATCGAAATTGTTCAAATGAATAATATTATAGTAATAGATTTTTTTTTATAAAAAAAATTGTATCAAAATTCTTTATTTTGTTTGATTTGGAAACATAAAATTTTTTTTTATAATGTTCATGTTGTTCAACAATATTTTAAAAAGTAAAATATTAATGTTGGATGATTGTGTGGAAGAGAGAGAGTGTGATCACAAATGTAAAAAAAGAAAAAAGGAGGCTGTTGAATGATTTTACCATTATACATAGTCTTATAGATTGAAATAGATGGAAGCATGGAGTAGTACTTACGTCTATTTGTGTGTTTTAAGTGGTGTTTACGTGATTTATAGAGAAATTCTTTAAGATAGTTTCTTTTAATTTATTTTCACAAAAAACTTTCAAATTAGAAATTGAAAGAAATTTGTTAAAGAGTATAAATACTCTTACACCTCTAAAATTAACTAATTTTAAATATTTTTTGTTTAGAATTAAGGGGTTGGTTTTAGGATAGGGTGTAAAATCTTCGAAAACAAAAAATAAATATTAAAAATTTGAAATAAAATATTTTCAAATAGTTTTAAAAAGAATTTTCAAATTTATAAAAGAAACTTAAAAAATAAAAATAAAAAATATTTTGAAAAGAAAAATTCCAAAAAAAATCTATAAAAGTGTGAATCGGAAACATATAATTCGAAAATGAAAAAAAAAATTACTTTTTTTTTGCTAACCGAGTATCGTAATCCCATCGAAGTAGTACAGACTAGAGATCGAAGCGAGAAAAGATGCTGCCAGGACGTCACCATGTGGCTCACCTATAATGGTCTTCAGTCTCGAACGCTGTAGGGTTCGCATGTAAAATTCCTCAATGGTCGGGTTTCGAACCCAGGTGGCAGAACTCACAGCCGTGAACCTTTTACCATCTGAG